AGGCTGGTCTCGAACTCCTGAGCTCAAACAATCCCCCCGCCTCGGCCTCCCAGAGAGCTAGGATTACAGGCGTGAGCCACCGCGCCCGGCCTTAAAATTTTATTTTTAATTATTATGGGTACATATGAGTTGTAGGGTACATGTGATGTTTTGATACAGGCATACAATATGAATTAATCAAATCAGGGTAGTTGTGGTATCCATCACCTCAGACATTTAACATTTCTTAGTTCCAGGAACATTCCATTATTGTCTCTCCTTTTTATTTTATTTTACTTTTTCTGATGAAGATGTTTACTTTGCATCTTTTTCTTCTATTAGGTGGATTTAAGTTTTTTAATGTCTTAAAATTTGTGACACTAAATTTAATCAACCAACATTCCTAAAGAATCTATAGCACATTTACTATTTGGTTAGATTGTCAGGCATTCTGAAAATAAATCAAACCTTTTGAGATTGGCCTTTATCCTTCAGTAATTTGTCATCCTGCCCACTTACCTTTTGAATTTGGTAAGTAACTAAGGTCAAGAAATTAATTCTTGTGGAAGGAGTAAATTAATACTATAAAAACTGTATTTTAACATAAAAATATTTTCTCAGTTTATGTATTATTTTTTAAATTTAAAAATAATGTTTATGATAAAAGGTTCTACCAAAATAGTTGTACAACCAATAAGCAAATGAAGTATAGCGTTACAGACAATCAATCAGACTACTAAGCACCATTTGATGGCATAATCCATTTGAACAAGAACCACATTTCCAAAAGGAGTTTTGATCTATTCATTGGAGGTAAAACAAATGCTTAAAGATATTATACTGTACCTTAAAGGAAAACAAACAAACAAAAAAAACCCCAAAACTTGTCCAATTCAGCATATCCAATAGAGATATAAATCAAATAGTAAAATATATATGTCATTAAAGTTTTCTAACAAGATTCTATGGTCATCTGAAGAAGACAAATTTGGTTTCCCAGTACAACTATTAAAATTGTTAAAAGTATTTTAAAGTTTTACTCTTATTTTAAGATTTTATGTTAGTTATATGTATTCACATTAATAGTTTTCAATCTCTATTGATCTCTATTGATATTCATATACTTTTATTAAACTATAGGTCCCAAATTAATATTTCATACTCAAGCTTTCAAAGGCTGTTTACTCTCTAGTGTAAGGATTAGATGAGATATGGATAATATGAGTTGAAATAATCATGCACTAGCATGATGAATTTTTAAAAATCCTTAAAATGTTTTATAAAAGGATGTTGTCAGGCTTAAAAATTTTGCAGTATCTCAAAACTGTCACAACTTTTCTTCTCTGATGTAAATATTATGTCTTCATACATAAAATGTGACTCTCTGGGCTGTATATTTCCTGCTTGTGTTCTGCCCTGTGTGTTTATGTTATCTCATATTATACAAAGTCATTTCGTGACTAATTTCCAGAGCACTGAGTCACAGTGTGGCTGTTGCTTATCTTTTCTTTTATTCCCCCATGGTACTACTCTTGGCCCTCATTTTTTTGGTAATTCTTTTATACCAATAAGTTTTTTCCATAATTAAATGTTTGCCTCATTGTAGTTTTGTGGTTGTGTACTGCTATAGCATGTGCTTTCTTTTTCTCCCAGAAGCAAAGTTTAATATGGTTTCATACCTAATAAGAAGATGACAGTAATCTACTGCTTTAATTTACAAAACTGCACTACACAACAGACTTGATCATAAGTATTCTCATTTAAATACCTTAGAATACAAGCTTTTGTTTTTGGAGACTTGTATTTCATTAGATTAGTTAATGCTAACATAAAATATTTAATTTAGATTATAATAATTCTAATGTTTATATTTCATTTTAAGTATCACCCACTAATGACAATGAAAGAAGTTTCTTTAAATAGAATGCTATCATTCTCTTTATTATAGTTCTTTATATGTTATTAATAAAATTGAAAGGTAAACCAAACCTTCAAAAAATTCCAATTAACCAAGCACAATTAGTAAATAATGTTAGCACAGTCTTAAACTATAGTTCAAACTATAGAAAAGCTACATCTCACCAACTACTTACAAAATTGTTCGTGGTCTTAAAAGCAAAAACATTGCACATATATTTGCTTAAGAGCTAAATGCAAAATGCTGAGGACTTAATTTCACATTGCAATTTGAATTTACTTTGTTTACAAGGAAGAGTTTATTTCAGGGGAATAGCCAGGGGGCTCCTCCCCAACGCGTCCCCGCCTCTCAGAACCCTGCTTTTCCCCCATTGCCAAGTACTCACGAGTCAAATCTCTGAAGAAAGTTCTTGGAAAGATTTTTTCAAAGCGGCGTTGAGGTTATTTTGTTTTCCCTTCTAGGTACTGAAGAGAGGATTTATCTTCTCTACGTCTTTTAAACAGATCAAGAAACTGGAAAGCAGAGAATACTGAGAGAAATGCAATCTGATCCCACTAGCAGTGAAAGGGCGAGGTAAGAATTTGACGATTATCCAGCCCTAAGTCCCTCCTGTCTATTGGAGCAAAGAGGGAGCCTGAGAGCCTTTTGCAGAGATCACTGGCAGTTGGGAATAGCCCAGCTTCCTGTTAGGTCACTCCAACTCCGACTCTATTTGGTCTAATTTTGCCAAACTCTTCAAAGCCTTTTTTTTTCTTTTCAAATGGAGGAAACAGACAAAGGAAACACCTCACACTAAGATTTCAAACATTACCACTTTTGAATAACTATTTCTTTTACCTTCCAGGATTCTTTTGGTAATCAGTTTTAAGAAAAAACACTTTTTTGCCTAGTTAGGTTTTAAAAAAAATTACACATTTATCATTATATTGTTCATAAATTTAACTTTCTTTTGCAGTTTATTTCTTATCTTTGGAAGTTTCCATTTATTTCATACATTGTTAATATATTTATGAAAAAAATCTGAGGGCTACTGGAGGTCTCTCTTATTAGAGAGACAAACTAGTGCATTATCTATTGCAGAACGTCAGGCTGTGAGCGCTCAGCTACTTGGTAGCTTTGCTACTTCAGCCAAGTAATTTCAGTTCTCTGTGGCCAGTTTCTTTTTACCTAAGATGGTGATAATCAAAGTTTCTAGGCTCGATACAAGTACTCAATGACTTAATATTAATATATAAAAAGCACCATCATGTAGCAAACCTTCAAAAAAGTTAACTATCATTATTGCTGTTGTTTGTTATTATTATTCTATTATTGTTTTACACAAAATATAAATCATTAAAGATGTCAATCAGAGTTGTTCTGCTGTTGATCCCTATCACTGAGGTTAACCCCTAGTATTTCTGTAATGGAATTATGGTCATAGTAGACTAAAATCAGCAGAGATTTAATAAAATGGCAGAATCTACTTTACCAGCATGGCTAAATTCATTCAATCAAAAAATACACCAGTTTCTTGTTTTCTACATCTCAGAAGCTTTTTGTGCCTTTAACTTTTCTTGCTTCTTTCCTTTGACCTCTGTGTAAAGAATAACCTTTCCTTTTGTGTTTTTGTTATTTTTGTTCAGGTTTCCTCTATTTTTTTTCACATGTGATAATTTAATACATTCATATAGTTTGCAAAAGTCAAATCAGTGTACTTGGGATATCCATCACCTTAAATATTTGTCTTTTCTATATGCTAGAACCTTTTAAATTCTTTTCTTCCAGATATTTTGAAATATATAATAGGTTATTATAAACTATAGTCACCCTACTGAACTATCTAACACTAAGTCGTATTTTTTCTATCAAACCATATATTTGTACCCATTAATCAACTTCTCTTCACTTCCCCCTCCCTGCTACCTTTCCCAGCCTCTGGTAACTGCCAGTCTATTCTCTATCTTTATGAGATCCACATTTTTAGCTCCTACATATGAGTCATAACATGTGATATTTGTATTTCTGTGCTTGGCTTACTTCACTTAACATAAGGACCTTCAGTTCCATCCATGTTGCTGCAAAAGACATGATTTCATGCTTTTTATGGCTGAATAATATTCCATTGTGTATATATACCACATTCTCTTTATCCATTCACCCACTGATGAGCACTTAGGTTTATTTCATATTTTGGCTATTATGAATAGTGCTGCAATAGATATTGGTATATACATAGCTGAAGCATCACACTCCTGACTTTAAAATTTATTGCAAAGCTATAGTAACCAAATTAGCATGATACTGACATAAAAATAGACACATAAATCAATGGAACAGAATAAAGGACTGAGATATAAATATACACATTTACAGCCAACTTCTCTTTGACAAAGATGGTAAGAGTATAAACTCTGTGGAGAGAACCATCTCTTCAAAAAAATGAACTGCATAAGAATATTCAGAAGAATGAAACTAGATCTCTATCTTTCGCCATACATAAAAATCAAAGCCACTGCACAGCAAAGGAAACAATCAACAAAGGGAAGAGACAACCCACAGAATGGGAGATAATATTGCAAACTCCACATCTGAAAAGGGATTAATAACCAGAATATATGTAATGAGCTTAAACAACTCAATAGCAGAAAAACAAATAATCCAATTTTAAAAATGGACAAAAGATCTGAATAGATATTTCTCAAAAGAAGACATATGAAGTGGGCAACAGGTGTATGAAAAATACTCAACATCCCCAATCATCAGAGAAATACAAATCAAATCAAATCTACAATGAAATACCATCTTATTCCAATTAAAATGGCTTTTCTCAAAAAGACAGGCAATAATGCATGCTGGTGAGGGTGAGAGAAAGAGAAACCCTTGTTCATTGTTGGTGGGAAATAGTACAGCCATTATGGAAAACAGTATGGAGGTTCCCCTAAAAAACTAAAAATAGAACTACCATATGATCCAGAAATTCCACCACTGGGTAAATATCCAAGAGAAAGAAAATCAATATATTGAAAAGATGTCCTCTTGTGTATTTTTAACATTCATTGAATAATTATTAGGTGCCTGGCACATTAGTTGCCTTATTTAATTCTCACAACTGGCTTAAGTAGAAAATCCTTTTTGTATTCCCATTTCACAGGCCTAGGAAGGTTGAGTTGTGTACATAGCTGTGATTCAAATCATGCAGTCTGACTTCAGAGCACAGATGCATAAATGCTCCTCTATGCTTCCTTCTCACTCAAGTTTGAACTTCATGCCATGTTAACAACTTACACCCTTGTTACCTCATTCCCTGCCACTCAACCACAATCAACTCTCCTTCTCACTCAGATTGTTGAGGAAACTGGCCTGTCCTTTGTACTATTAATATAATGGACACCGATTAAACTTTTGGTCAATATATAGTGTGAGTAGAAGTGAGCTCAGCCAGTCAGATTTCCTTTCTTGAAAACATAAACTAAGAGCTATAGAAAAACTAGATAGTGTAAAAGAAAATAAAATTTCAGGACTCTCTAAATTTAATATGCCGAGGGAAATCTTAAGCTCTGGGGACTAAGTCACGTAACTTGTTTTCAATTCTGCTTCTTAGATTATAGTTTAACTTTCTTCCTCATTGTTCTTGTTCTTAATTGACTAGATCAGAGACCACAGCTTCCCTCTTCTAAGCACTAATCTTTGTCATAGATTAACTGCCTCCTTTATTGTCTTGCACTTAACTCAGACCAGATGGTGCCCAAGATCCCATGACTGTTACATCTTAAGTGTGAAATGTTAAACATACCTTTTCTGAAAGAAAAAGACAACCTTGACTAATAAGATCATTGTAACTATGCATTAAGCCTTACATAGAAAGATGCTGAAATTCTGTTAGGCTTCCCTAAACTTCCTCTATATAGACAATCCCAAACATCTATACTTTGGAACCTGACTTCCATTCTTTGGAATCTGTTCTTCACTGGTGACCCATCGTCAAGCTTTATGCTTGAATAACATCCCTTTAAACTAGATTCTGACCCTTTTGATTATTTTTGGTTGACAATAGTAAATGTCAAACTCTTAAAAGTCAAGAGGAGAAAGGTCTTGCAGCCATAATGTCTGTGTGCAAGATGGTTGCGTGGAGAAAACTAGTTGACAGGGAATGACAAAAAGACTAAAGGAAAGAGAACATGTAACCTCTGAGAGAGAATTAGGGAAAAAATGAAAGCAAGAGTAAAAGTGAGAGGCAAGTGATGTGAGCATGATGTGAACTCATCCACAGCCGCAGGCCTTCCCCAGGCCTAGTTTGTTTTCCTAAGTATTCAGGAATATATAACCTTGCAATTAAGCCCTTTTTGTCCTAAAGTCATTTAAGAAATCTCTTTTTCTTACAATGTTAAGAATGTATCTGGAAGAGCCACAGCTAAGTTTTTTTTTTTTTTTTTTGCCAGAGATCATCAATTTCATAATAAGGTGCAGCTGGCATTAATGAAAATTTTTCATTATTTTGTTTCCATGTAAGTTACACAACCTTGGGTATTTTTGTGCTCAAGAGAATGTGAGAACTTGATCTTAAGATATTGTTAAATCAACCTGATGCTGTAACTTACAGATTCTGTAGACATAGCTCTTCTCATCCTGAGGCTCATGTGAGATCCAGTTTGTGGTTTTCTTGCTAGTTTGCTATTCCATTGTGTATTACTCTAAGTTATTTGGATAAAATACATTTTCTCACCAACAATTTGACTATATGCCATTGTATCTTAAACCTGTCTGTATCTAATCAGTATTTGGATACGCCAAGTATTCACCTAATACTAAATACTCTCCTTTTCATTTCTCATGATATTCTGTTATTTTTTCTTTACAACTCACACAAGTAGAATAACATTCTGGGTTCTTAATATGACCTAATATATTTCTTGACCAAGATATAAAAATCATCTTTTTTTCCCTTTACTTTTTCTATCAAGAGACATTTCCTAATTTTATCCCTTAAGAATCTTGGCCATTAAAATATACCTCATGTTTCAACAAATTCTGATAACTCTGTATGATTGAGACATAATCTGCAGGGAAGGTGTTTCCTTATCAGCATTGTGAGAAGAGTATACCTTGTTGTAGGATAGAGAACCAAAGTTAGAAATAATGTTAAAACTTCAAATTAGACAAAAGTTTTGATAAACTTCCAAAATGAAATTAAATTTTATCATATTGAACGTGCATGTCAGGTATTTTTGTCTACTTTAAAGTCTGTGAAAGTTTAGCTATTCCACTATTTCACATTTTAGCCAATTATTTTTCATACAAAGTGTGAGTGCAAAGGTGTTTAACTGGATTGGGTGAGGGGTGAGTCCTTGAGCTTCACTCTTTGTCTCAGTCTTCATCCTTATATCCAGAATGTAAATCGTATACTCTTTGTGGTTCACTTCTCCAGAGAGTAAATTCCTGAAGACTGATTAGCAAATGGAAACAATGCACATTTTCAGATGTCAGGTGTAAAAAAGAACAGGACCTAGGCTTTATCAAATTATGTTCATTAAAGCTCTGTAATAGGCGAGACACATACAAACATGGATGTAAAAAATGTCTCTATTTATTTCATCATTAATAATATTTACTTAGCTCTCAAGCCCCCATTTTTTACCAATGTGGCAAATGTAACCTTGTTTTTTCTAGCTGTGTTTACTACTGACTAAATTACTAGTTAAAAT